AAAGGTAAATCTCCAGTTTAATTAACAAATTTACAAGGGACAACAAAAAATACAGCACAACACCTGACAGTAACACCACAGCTTTGTTACATATGAAGGATTTTAGTTTCCATGAGTACACAACCCATCATATAGCAAATAACAATAAACATCAATGGAAGACCCTTGCAAACACCGAACCAGACAGTATGTAAAAATAAAGGTTCTAATAAAATTTGTATATTTGTACAATAACACAACAAATCAAGTGTTGAACTAAGGAACATTTTTGTGTACAGACTGTGATATGTCTTGTTTAATGTCGCTATTGATTAGTTTATAAACCATCAAGGAATTTTCTTTTTTTTTACTTTTCTAGTTATACAATATTCATTTCCTTCATTATGATCTGTTAATTTGGACTAAGAAGGAAAAAAAAATATGGCACCGTGTAGTACATAAAAATATCTTTAAAAATAATATTAAAAAATAAAACCATATGCATGAATATTAATTCCCTGATCATTTACAAGTCAATATTGAGGACTCTTTATTTCAAGGTTATAAATGCATGATATGAAGACAGGTTGATAGTAATACTTCACTTTCTTATTTTCCTTTAACATATAATATTGTGGTGTGTATAATTGTATACTGTTAAGAGCCTCACTGATATTGAACCTGAACATTTTTGTGCTTTGTAAATGATGAAAGTGTAACCCCCATATAGCCAGAAAAACTCATATTCAAATAGGATAGTGTAATAGTAATTTATGATTTTCTATTTTACAAATAGTTTAAAGTAACAGTCTTAAATTTTTTTAAATGATTACAATTTTGAGTTACTCCTTTGCTATAATATAGAAAATATATTGCAACCTTGAGAAGTATTCCCCAAGATCTTACTAATAAAAATATTATCATTATATATGCATTTCTTTCAAAGTACTGTGTCATTAGCAAATTCGGCAACAATGCAGATGAAATAAAATCAACTTTTATTTCCTTTTTTTCCCTGGAACATTGCTTCAAAAAAACATAAAATAAAGACACAAAAATAATACGTATACATTTTTGTAATTTTCTTCCTGTTATACCAGAGTATGGACTAAATAAACCTAAGCATATATACAACATACTTATTCTTACTACAAAAAATTGTATTTCATGCAAATTGGTATAATCCCAGTATATTTGGAATATATCCTGTTTAGCTGTTCTACATTATGCAGCCAACAAATATACATGAATTCTACTTAATACGATGCCCATGATTGCAATAAGGGAATGCCCTGCAACTGACGCATAACTTGTCTAAACATACCACTGACAGGCAAGGCAGGAACACAAAAGGAACAAATCAAAACAAAAAGTTAACATATAATGTTATAATGACATTAACAAAAAAATACTATGGAATAAATATGAAAAGCATCAGGTAAATATATATATCTTTTAACTATTTTCTAAGCAATTATGAGACTGTACTCTTTATAAAGCTCCTGAAAGCCAAAGATCTTGCTTACTTGTGCCACTGATTTGCAATCTAGAGTAAAGTGCAAAGGTGCAATTTGATATTTTTCATCCACTTCAGCATCTCTTTCACATAATTATTTCTAATTATCAATCTATCTGGAGTGATTATCTTAACTTCAATTATATATAAGAGATAATTTCTTTCCAATAGTACAGTAAAATCTTACCATGAAAAGGTAGCAAAAATCCATGTCAAAAAGGCATTTAATCATTTGATGACAATGTTGCCATAAATCTTATCAAAAACATACAATTATTATCATCACTGGCAGTGTTACTAATTTCACAGAATACTGCTGCGGTTTCAACATTTTATTTTGCTCAGAAATTCATTTTATGAATTACTTTTACAATTAATAATAAGGTAAAAAAAATGATAGATGGACCAATAGACAAATAGATACTGACAGAATGATACAGAAACATAGACATAGATGGATACACTTATCAGAAAGTGCAATATAAAAAAGCCATATAATAATGGCTGATAAAATTTCCATTTCTCATCACCCAAATTTTGGATCCTTTTTATTACAGTACTCCTAATGTAGGATCAATATTAAATATTCCTAGTGCATTTACATTGGTAATTCTAAATACAATTACAAAGTCCCCAACTTCACGTCACAAAATCCATTCAATAATATATGTTGACCAGTGTGCACCACAAGAAATTTTGTGTTCATCTTGTTATGTATAGCAAGATAGAGCTGAAACTCGGGAGCACTGAGTGAACTTAGACTGTGAGTGGCACTTTCCGCAACCTTTTCCTTTATTTGTAGCATAACATTCATGTCTGCAGATTATTTCTTGTATGAATGTCTTCAACTTTTTGTCCTCTGCAAGACTATCATCTTCAATTTGCCCTAGCTTAGTGCATCCATACCACATAGATTAACTTTTATATCAATCATTAGGGAACATTTTATAATCATTTTATACCAAATCCATTTGGTAGATCTTCACACTCAATATAATACCAAATTAGTAATGTCTATCTACTAAAAGTATATTCATCATTTCAATAATATACATCTAAGAGAAAGACATAATTTTCAACGCCATTGTCATATCAGTTTACGTAATTTTATAACTCATTGTAAATATCAGCTTAAATACAGATATTGAAAAGACATGTCAGTATTTTCAGTTCAAAATAAGCTGCCCTGACCTATACCAGCCACAATATGCCAAGCATTTAATTAATTCCTCCTATACAAATGTACTTAATATTTGTGTAATCATCAATACCATGCCTGGAACCCTCTCTTCCAATTCCTGACTGTTTCACACCTCCAAATGCACCTTCTGTAGCAGAGATTAGGCCCTCATTAATGCCAATCATACCTGTTTCCAATCTCCTAGCCACTCGCCATACCTGTGGGAAGGCCCATGTAAATTAATAGGCTTTGATAAAAATATATCCATGTATGACCTATTTCTACAAGTTTTTATGTCTCTAATAGTTACTATCTGCAAATGAGATTCAGCTAATATTTTACTTTTCTTTTTCAAGATAATTAAATATAACATAAAAGATTCAAACAATTATCTCCAACAGACTTTTATAAGTACTTGTATACATTTAAATGTCTATTCTCTGGAACAAATTACCTGTGAAACATCTTGGCTGTAGAAATAAGCAGCCAAACCACGGTCAGAGTTATTGGCAATCTGCAAAGCCTCTTCTTCAGTCTCAAATCTGTAAAATGTAATAGAACATTACTGAGGATTTTCTAAATGAATCTCCTATGGTAGCTATGCATACCAATGTATCATTTTCAGCACATAAAATTACTTTTTACAAAATACAGATACCACCCATCAAAATACAACCAAACTTTTAATGAAATTACCATAATTCTATTACAAATAAAAGATGACTGCCTCATCTAATAAGCTTTTTTGGTGTAATGCAGTTCTTTTCAATATTTCATCAACATGCCAGAGCATTTAACCATTCAAGCATAACATTTCTGAAAATGGATTAATAAAAAGACAATCCTCACTTCCTAACAGCCACAACTGGGCCAAAGATTTCCTCCTTGAAGCAAGGCATATCCTCTGTGACCTCAGTCAGGATGGTTGGCTCGTAGAACAGACCCCCCAGTTTGTGAGGGTTCCCTCCAGTCACCAAGTGAGCTCCAGCAGCAACTGAGTCCTTGACAATGGCACTGACCTGAGAGTGAGAGGATGCCATTGAAGCTTATTCTACAACACTGTAGCTACTTTGTCCTACAAAGTGCTTTAAACAGGCTTATCTCCTAGTAAAGGAATGGTGCTTAAATGTAGTTCTAGGGTCCTACAACTACTCTATACTAGTTAGAGGATGTAAAAATAGTTCCATGTTCTACAAAAAGATGGCACTAGAGAGTATTACAGAGCACTGTAACTACTTGTATATCTTAATAAAAGGATGACACTGAAAACAGTTTGATTTTCTAGTGAAAGCAAGGTGCTGAAAATGGTTTGGCAGCACTACAACTACTCTGTCCTAGTACAAGGATGGTGCTGAAAATAACAGTATGTTCTTGTTAAAGGATGGTGCTGAAAACAGTTTTGTGGCACAGCATTTACTTTGTTCTAGTCAAAGGATGGTGTAGGAAATGCTTTTACGGCATTGCACCTTACTTCTAGTAACAGGTGATGCACACACATGGCATTGTAATCACTTAGTTTAAGTGATGGAGCTATTACATGGCTTTGCAATCCCTTACTTTAAGTGATATTATATGGGAATTATAAAAATGGTAAGAATTTCTCCACACAATCAATTGCATTCATGGCATTTAGTCTAGCAACATTCAATTGAAAGTGTTGCATGAAATAAATAGTAGCTAAAACTAATGTTTAATACTGAAATTATTTTAATATTTCTTTTCCTATGTTCTTTCCGTGATGATTACTTTTACTTATAATTAACAGCACTGATGGATTTTACACACTATGTGAAACTTCATATAATAGTCTCCAGATGCAAAATTTGCAACCAAAATAATGCCAAATCATAAAGGCAACTTTATAAAGTTGAAACACAAGTCATTACTCCTAAAATCTATCTTTTACAGAAGTCTGAAAAGGAAAGAGAAAAATGGCTAACATGTAGAAAAACTCAATGAAAGTGGAAATGCCACAATACTGAGTATACCGAGAGTGTTGGTGTTGAGAGATAATCTCACAGCACCAATTCTCCCATGACTGTGAAAGAGGAAAAACTAACCTTATTCAGCTGACTTTGGTTAATGATAGGTCCCTGATTAACTCCCTTGTCAAATCCATCCCCTACAACCAGTTGCTTGCTCACAGCCTCCTTAAGCTGCTCCAGGAACTGATCATAGACTCCAGACTGAACCAAGATCCTGTTTGCACTGATGCAAGCCTGTAAAGAGTAAAATAGTTTCTGAACTGTATGTTTGGGCCAGGGATGCACAGTATATGGAAACTAATTCAAAATGTTCTGGACCATGGTGACAGACTCTGCATCAAGAAAAGACACAGCAATAACACAGTCCACAAGGTAACTTCTAAAACAATATTATCAATGGATCACTCAAAATATCCCAAAACAATTTTCCTTTGCCAAATGTAAGTTAAAATAACAGTAATACTGTCTAAAGCATGTAAGATTCAAGGGATGTTTTCTTTATATCATAATAGACAAGATAAAGAAGTGTGAAGTATCCTACAAAGATAAACATTTAATCAAGAAACAGATTGAGACAGAAGATTAACACATAATATAGTTATTATATCCATATCTAATAAGTAGTATCCAGTATTACACCCTGACAACAAGAATGGCATATAACATGTGCTTATCCTGACTGTTAATATGCTATCACAGGTATACTAATAATGTAACTGCAATGCCCAGGAGTAAAACTGAAACAACTTGGATATTGGAAATAACATGGAAATTTTAGACAAACAAAAAGCTATGATGTAAAATTAACATCAGTCATCATCGTTTATCGATAAATAATTTCCCCCAACTCCCTTGCTCATTGTAGTGGTGGGGGGCTTAGGAGAAGGAGACTAAGGCCCAATGTAGGGGATCACCCCTACCTTGGACCTCAGCCCTTGCCTCAACTAATTTTGCATGGTCTTTTTTTCTCCTGCTTTCCTTTTCCATGTCTTCATCTCCTTCTTCTGTCCAGAGCTTTGCTGAAAAGATGAAAGACTGGAATTTTTTCAGTCCTGAACGGCCTTCATACTCTGTCTGCTCTTCCCTCTGTACCATTTTCACTAACTACCTACAGCACTCTACAACCTTAGACATCTCATACACTTTGTCCTAATCATTAACTCATTTTACTCTTTTTGCCACAATACTTTATCATAATGCTATATGACCTTTGATGTCTGACAAATTATTTGTTTTAACCATATCCATTCTGGGAATCTATAAACTTCGCCTTATGAACCAAAGAAACTTCCTTACCCAGGGGATTCATCCTCAAGCTTCACCCTAAGAATACACTGTCAATGACCTTAGATGTTAATGTAGCAGAAATTTTTCAATATATAAAATAGTAAATAACTTTTATCTTACTTTTGGCATTTTATAATTACATGCGTATGAATTACATTCTTAGCCTGTTAGATCTGGGTGCCTTGCAGCACGAGTGTAGACTAAAATCCATGCATTTGGCTTCCTTGAGTGATGACCCTCATGAGTGTGTGGCCCAGCTTATATGAACTCCTTGCCTTAACTTATGCAGTATCATGATGGTAATACTAATTTCATTGGTCAGAATTCATATAATCTCTCTAGGTAGTTTACACTCCTTGTAATAACATTGCAATAAAAGTAGCAATAAGTAGCATTGTGTTATTTGTGATATTTTTCATATTTTAGTATTATCCAAGTTTCAGTAACCCACCCCACACCACCAGGGATATGTTCCTGCTCCCTCAAGAAAGCCCTCTCCTTGGCATGGTTAACAGGTGGAAAACTTTAGACAGTGGAAATCCAAAGGGGCTCACAAATGAGCCCCTATGTGTGGTCCCACCGAGTCAAACTCACTCCAAGTGCTTTCTGCACTCATGTGACATCCAATCACTTGACACTCTGCAACAATTTCCCATGACAAGACATTTTTTGCATAACTAATCCATTCCAAATTACTTAGCAATTTCATACTCACCTCCCACTTCAAATTCAGAGCATCTCCCAACTAATTTCTAGGCAATCAAAAGAATTTAAACTATTTTTGATTCACAGACAGCCTATAATCCATCTTTTGATAGACCTGCATTCTAGACACTCCAAATCTATTCCACACTTCGAAAGTGAAATTACACTTTGTCGTGCACTCTGCATTTCCCCTTTTCCACTGTACTTGCCTGTCCTGCATTCCTGAACTTTGCAACCATTAGTCCTTCAACAGCTGATTTCAAATTAGCCCCATTGAAGACAATGAAAGGGGCATTTCCTCCTAACTCCAGTCCAATCCTCTTGATGCCCGTTGAACAGAGCTTGTACAATAACTGCCCTACTACAGTTGATCCTGAAATGGAAATCAGAATGTATAATAAATCTCAAAAAATAGCTTTTTGTCATACAAATATTTAAAACTACAGTTTTTGATGCTGATATGCGTGTGACACAAAGCACATCCCTAGTGTATCTTCTGGCTTGTATAAACTCAATAATGACAATTTTTTCAGTGCACACTACATGCACTTAGGCAATTGAGTTCAGTAATTACTCAAAATGTGATAGAATTTCAATGGGGGTAACGTAGAGGTAAAATTAACACTTTTGAAACTACAAATGCCTCTAATCTTCCTAAAAATAATGCATAAAATACAGCTCAACCCACAATTGTCAATGAAAAGAGACAAGATTCTGTTTTAAAAATGAATTATCCATCACAAATATTAAATGAAAGCTTTATATTCTCACCTGTGAAGGACATGCCTGCTACTTTTGGGCTTGTGCATAGAATCTCCCCTACAGCTGGTGTGTTTGGCCTTGATGCT